TGTTGTTGCGAAAATGAAAGCTCTGGGTCAACGTTAATATGTATCTTACACCTTTCCCATTTTCGATCAGTTTTCCCATTCTCTCCCTGAAGAAAGTACAAAGCAGGGCCTTGCCTGGTGATAATGAAATGGGTTTTCCTGAAACCTGTTGTGTGCATGAGGAAGTTTCCATTCATTGTTCCTCAAACACTGGGCTGTGACCTAATTTCACACGCACTGAGGCCAGGGGCTCCCGATGGTCTTGGAACTGGAACAGAATGTAGATAGCCGCTTTTGTCCAGGAACATGTGAATGGCTGGGCAGCTTGGAGGCCTTTTGCTGATTAAGGATGTGAGTAGAAATTGAAAATGTATTCATGAAAGAGCCAAGCGTTTGGAACAATATCTCCCCTGCCGACCAGCAGACTAAAAACAAACACAGCTACTGTTCTCTCGTAATACATCTACTTTACGAGCCAGTTATGTAAGGGTGCAATTTCATTCTTTTGCTTTTTCCCTTTGGCTCTGGTTGGCCTGGCCTTGCCAAAATGGTCACAAACAGTGAAAACGAAATTTTGTGTGAGGTGGGCCCCCTGAAACCCGTTCCCAATCTGTAGGCTACGGTACTGAGATGTTCAGAGACAGTAAGAACTGTCGATGCTAGAGTCAGAGATAACACAATGTGGAGCTGGATGAACACAGCAGGCCAGGCAGCATCAGAGGTGCAGAAAAGCTGACGTTTCGGGCAACCTTCTTGCTCCTCTGATGCTTCCTGACCTGCTGTGTTCCTCCAGCTCCACACTGCGGTACGGAGATGCTTCTGCCCACCTAAACGTGACATTTTATTTTGTGCTCATCATCAATGGATGGTCAAAATCTAACCTTGATATCAAATCTGAAATGAAATGCTGCCTTAAAATGTGGCACTATCATCTCCACAATGCGGTCAGGGACTCTTAGATAAGTACAACAACAATTTGCATTGATATAACCCTTTTGAGACATCTCCTGGCTGCTCCATGTTGGGGGTAAAACAAGTAAAAATTTAACGGTGAGCATGTAAAAATGTATTAGGACAGGCCATCAGAGGACTGGTTTAACTGAGTGTTTTGAAGGACGATTAATCGCTGGTGAGGGAAGGGAATCCCAAAGGCCTAGGACACAGCTACTGAAATAACTCCACAAAATGCCGGTATCCTGTCACCAAGTCACCCTTTATTTATACATGCACAGTTACAGGACACTGACCCAGCTTCCTCAGAGCCAGCTCTCAGAGTGAGCAGAACCCTTGACACTCCTGTTTATATCTGCCAGTCAGGGCTCCCTGATTGGACTGGGTTAACAGCCCCAATAAGGGAACTCATACTGTATGAGGTCCACCTGGTTGACATCATTACAAACACTACAGTCACCAATGGTGGACTCTCCCCAGTTCTGCAACATTCTCCAGCTTGACACCTTACTGTGTCTCTGTGCTCTCAAAGGAGGGGAGCTGGCTAGTGATTCAGAACTTTTCCTCACCTCTGACCTTGGATTTACAAAGAACGCGTTCATGTATGTGCCATCAGCAGCGAGGCCAACCCTGGTAACACATCCTGATTTGCCCTTAAACTGAGCTAAGCCAAGTCAGAGGACGGTTAAGAGTCATTGCTGTGGGTCTGGAGTCACACATAGGCCAGACTGGGTAAAGATGGCAGATTTCCTTCACTAAAGGGCAGTAGCAAATCAGGTGGGTTTTTAACAATCAACAATGGTCACCAGTATATTCACAGAATCCCTACAGTGTGGATGCAGGCCATTCAGCCCATACTGACCCTCTGAAGAGCAACCCACCCACCTTATCCCTGTAACGCCACATTTACTATGGTTAACCCACACCTTTGAACTGTGGGAGGAAACCGGAGCAAACCCACGCAGACATGGGGAGAATGTGCAAACTCCACACAGACAGTCACCCAAGGGTGGAATTGAACCGGGCCCCCTGGCGCTGTGAGGCAGCAGTGCTAACCACTGAGCCAACGCATCATCTTTAGGTTAGCTTCTTGTTCCAGATTTTTACTGAATCCAAATTTCAGCCTCAGCCATAGTGAGATAATTGGCCGGGGAGTTGGAGATCACTAGAACAGTGATATCACCAAGACACCCCTGTCTCAACTGGAAAACGTCAATAAGAGGATGTACTAGAGAGCAGGCTGGGAAGCAGCGAAAGGATGGCGATTGTCTGCAGTATAATTACTGAGATCAATCGAGATGAAAGGCTTGTTTCCCTGCCAGAAACACAATTGGGTTCTGTGTGAATCAGATACAGGGACTGTGCAATGAAATTAGCGAAAATATTTCAAGGCTATAACTGTTTTTTAAAAGAAGGAGAAGATATAATATCTAGAATATATAATCTGTAACAAGCTGGAGAAACTGATTAAACAAAATAAAGGGATGGCATGGTGGTTAACACTGCTGCCTCACAGTGCTAGGGACCTGGGTTCGATTCTAGCCTCAGGCAACTGGGTGGTGTTTGCAAGTTCTCCCTGCGTCTGCGTGAGTTTCTGCTGGTTTCCAAAGATGTGCAGGTTAGGGTGGATTGGCCATGTTAAATTGCTCATAGTGTCCAGGGATGTGCAGGCTAGGGTGAGTTAGCCATGGGAAATGCCAGGGATAGGGTGGGATGCTCTTCGGAGGATCAGGGTGGAGTTGATGGACCAGAATGGCCTGCTTCCACGCTGTAGGGATTCTATGATGATTAAATTTAAACCCCCAGCCGGTCCATTATGACATACCTGATGTCTGGGCCTCCACCCGAGACAGGAGGATGTGGATATGGAGGGGTTAGAATTCACAATTCCTCTTTTAGACAATCCACACCCTTGTGATTATAAGGCTCCCTGTTAACGGCACAACATTTGAATTAGGCCAGAGGTTGCAGATTGGCTGATCCCAATGAATGGGCAGAACAAGTTTGAGGGGTTGAATGGCCAACTCCTGTTCCTATAACAAGGAATACAGGTGTTAGGAGTAGGACATTTGGCCCCTCGAGCTTGTTTTGCTGTTCAATGAGATAATGCCTGATTCAACTGTGGCCCCAACTCCACTTTCCTGTTTGCCCCCATCTCCACTTTCCTGTTTGCCCTCATAACCTTGGCTCCCTTGCCATTCAAAAATCTCTCTAATTTGACCGCTTAAATATTCATTGGCCGGGCCTCCACTGCCATCTGGGGAAGAGAATTCCACAGGATAATGACCCTCTGAGATGTTCCCTCATTCTGGCCTTCCCCAGACAACATACACTCCATCCAGTCTGGTCAAGATCTCAAATTTCAATAAGCTCAGCTCTTCCTTCAAAATTCCAAAGGGGAAAGTTCTTCACAAGATTTAAAAAAACCCTTGTCCCAAGTTGAGTCAAGTGAATATTCTCTGAATGGCATCAAATACAATGACATCCTTTCTCAAATGAGCAGATCGAAATCGTACAGGTGATCTTCAGTAAATCATGCACACAACCCCTGCCCCGCCACGCCCATTCCCCCTGCCAGGTGATCCCCTATATTAGTCAGGTTACATAGACTATAGAGTCATACATCACAGAAAGCGACCCTTCGGCCCAAAAAGTCCGTGCTGTCCATAATCCCAAACTAAAATAGTCCCACCTGCCTGCTCCTGGCCCAAATCCCTCCAAGCCTTTCCTATTCATGTACTCATCCAAATGTCTTTTAAACGCTGTAACTGTAGCTACATCCACCACTTCCTCTGGAAGTTCATTCCACACACGAACCACTCTGTGTAAAAAAAAATGCCCCTCATGTCTTAAAATCTTTCTCATTGCATCTTAAAAATATGCCCCCACTCCCCAAGCTTTGAACTTCATCTCTTTTTTCCAACTCTTGACCGGGAAAGTGTTAAATTTGTTGATGGCAATGTTGTAATCTCCTGATTGGTGTTTGTTTTCACAGTGCTTGATGTGTAACTGCCAAAAAAAACAGGAAAAGGTGACACTGCTTTCAGTGATGATGGAATAGCTTCCCTGCAGAATGCAGTTGCCTCGGGAGAAGCTATTGAACACTGTATCTGACCTCCAGCACAGCTCTCGCTGTACATTCAAGGGATGTGCATCCCCCGTTTCCCCTCTGGGTTTGTATGTTCAGGAGATACAGGCACACAATTATTTAAACCGTGTTTTGCAATGTGCGTGACTTAAAATTGTGACAATAAACACTCGAGTTGCCAATTTCTCGTTGTGAAATTAACAAATTGCAGGGAAAACTAAATGCTCTTTGAATCTTGCTGCTTTCATCTTGCACTTATTAGGACAAACACAATGAGGCCAAATGCCAAACAATTTATTCGACTGGATTAAAAGGTGCTGATAAATTGACAAGCCGAGCGCAATTAGCCAAGGCGTTGCCCCTCTGAGAGGGACCCCCCAAGCTCCTGGTTAATTTAAAGAGGCAAGGTGTAAATATGTTCTTTTCATTTGCAGAGAATTGGGCGAATGTGTGTCATTTCTGGCAATGAGCCATATCATGAGCCCGATGGATAATCTTAAAACTGGTTGTCAGAAAAGCTGTGAGAGCACTCTGGCTTATTCGGCAAATGCTGTGCAATTTGTGGAAACAGCTAGCAGTACAGTTAATGTGAAATGTTATTTGGCTGACAGTAAAGAAACATATTCTGGTCCCTTTCTCACTGGCCATAGGAATAAAGAACAAAGAAAATTACAGCACAGGAACAGGCCCTTCGGCCCTCCAAGCCTGCGCCGATCCAGATCCTCTATCTAAACCTGTCGCCTATTTTCCATGGATCTGTATCCCTCTGCTCCCTGCCCATTCATGTATCTGTCTAGATACATCTTAAATGACGTTATCGTGCCCGCCTCTACCACCTCCGCAGGCAACGCGTTCCAGGCACCCACCACCCTCTGCGTAAAGAACTTTCCACGCATATCTCCCTTAAACTTTTCCCCTCTCACCTTGAAATCGTGACCCCTAGTAATTGAGTCCCCCACTCTGGGAAAAAGCTTCTTGCTATCCACCCTGTCTATACCCCTCATGATTTTGTAGACCTCAATCAGGTTCCCCCTCAACCTCCGTCTTTCTAATGTAAATAATCCTAATCTACTCAACCTCTCTTCATAGCTAGCACCCTCCATACCAGGCAACATCCTGGTGAACCTCCTCTGCACCCTTTCCAAAGCATCCACATCCTTTTGGTAATGTGGCGACCAGAACTGTATGCAGTATTCCAAATGTGGTCGAACCAAAGTCCTATACAACTGTAACATGACCTGCCAACTCTTGTACTCAATACCCCGTCCGATGAATGAAAGCATGCCGTATGCCTTCTTGACCTTTCTATCGACCTGCGTTGCCACCTTCAGAATACAATGGACCTGAACACCCAGATCTCTCTGTGCATCAGTTTTCCCCAGGGCTTTTCCATTTAGCGTATAGTTCGTTCTTGAATTGGATCTTCCAAAATGCATCACCTCGCATTTGCCTGGAGTGAACAGGGAAGGCAGGCTGTGGCAATAATGGTTGTGTTGGATAGACCAATGCCGAAAGGGGGTGAGGGGTATTGGGGGGGTCATGTGATGAAACCGCCAGGAATACAGGGCTGACGATCTGCAAGGTAGTTGTGAGGAACCTGGGCCTCACATCAGTGAGCAGTTATGGTGTGCAGGAAGACATTCAAGGTATGCTACAACTGAGGTCACTCTGCTTTCCCAAACCATTCAATAAAAGATGTTGGGAATTAATGATGGGTCACTTGCTGCCAATTTCAAAACGCAATAAGATTAAACTCTCTCAGAGATGGTAAAAACTGTCGATGCTGGAGTCAGAGGTAACACAGTATGGAGCTGGAGGAACACAGCAGGCCAGGCAGCATCAGAGGAGCAGGAAAGCTGATGTTTCGGGACGGGACCCTTCTTCAGAAATGGGGAGGGGGTAGGGAGCACCAAAATACCTACCTTCCCCATCCCCACCCCTCCTCTCTCTATTTATTTCAGAGCTCCCTTCCTCCTCCCCATTTCTGAAGAAGGGTCATTACCCGAAACGTCAACTTTCCTGCTCCTCTGATGCTGCCTGGCCTGCTGTGTTCCTCCAGCTCCACACAAGATTAAACACTGTAAGCTTCCTTAAGTCTACACGTCCTGAACAACAACAACCTACCCTATCACAGAGTTTACCCCATTAAAAATCCAGTGTCCTGTGTTCAACACTGGGCACTGCATCTCAGGAGGGAGTTATTGGAGGTTTGTGTGGGGGAGCTTGGGTCATCAGATATGATTCAAATGCTAACAGGAGGTTCACCAGATTAATGTTGGAGGTGAGGGGTTTGTCCTATGAGGAGAGATTGAACAGTTTAGGCCTGTACTCTCTATAGTTCAGAAGAATGAGATGATCTAATTGATGTATATCAGATGCAAAAGGAGACTAACAAAGTAGATGTAGAGAGGATGTTTCATCGTGTGGGGCAATCTGGAATGAAAGGCCACAGTTTCAGGATAAGGGGTAGCAGATTCAAAACAGAGATGAGGAGGAATAACTTCCCTCAAAAGGTCCTGAATCAGTGGAATTTCACGCGCCCCGCCCCACCCACCCCACTCCCCGCCCCCCCAACCCCCATCCAGAGTGTGGTGGATCAATGAGTTTAAAGAGGACACAGATTTTTAATCAGTAATAGAGTTATAGAGTCATACAGAGTCATACAAACAAGCCTTTCAGTCCACCATACATCCCAATCTGACCCAGTCCCATTTGCCAGCATTTGGCCCATATCCCTCTAAACCCTTCCTATTCATATACCCATCCAAATGCCTTTTAAATGTTGTAATTGTACCAGCCTCCACCACTTCCTCTGGCAGCTCATTCCACACAGGTTAAAGGGTTATGGAGAGCAGGTGGAAAAGTGGAGTTAAGACCAAGATGAGATCAGCTATGATTGTATTATGTGGTGGAGCAGGCTCGAGGAGCTGAATGACCCAACTCTGCTGTTAGTTCTTATAAAATGGTTAAATGACAAGAATAGGTCACAAAAACATGTTATAACTGTATGACAATCAGGGGTGATCTGATTAAAGTGTTTGAAGAATTCAGGAGGTGAATAGCTTAAATGAATTTATTTAATAACCACTCCCTCCACCACGGATGCTCAGTAGAAGCAATGTGTATTATCTACAAGATGCACTGCAGAAATTCACCAAAGTTCCTTAGCACTTTCCAAACCCACGACCACTTCCATCAGAAGGACAAGGGCAGCAGATACATGGGAACACTACCTCCTGCAAGTTCCCCTCCAAACCACTCACCATCCTGACTCAGAAATGCACACAGAGTCACATGCAAGTTACACCAACAGATCATCCATTTGTGTCTGTAGGTTATTGGCCCAGTGACATTTTCACCAGACTCCCATCTCACAACAATTCTGTTATCTGCTATCACTCCTGAGCTGTTTAGATCTCCTTCCCTGACACTCAATATCCTAATTGGGAAATATATCACCGTTCCTTCACTGTCACTGGGTCAAAACCCTGGAATTCCCTCCCTAAGGGCATTGTGGCTCAACCTACAGCACATGGACTGCAGTGGTTCAAGAAGGCAGCTCACCCCCACCTTCTCAAGGGGCAACTAGGGACGGGCAATAAATGCTGGCACAGCCAATGATGCCCACATCCCATGAATAAAAAACAAAAAGAGAAAATAAATGAGGAAGAGTGGGATAGGAGGACAGTTTGATGTAGGAAAGGTGCTCATGTGGAGCATAAAGGATATTATTAAGCTGGAGGGGGTTCAGAAGAGATTTACCAGGATGTTGTTGGGAATGGAGGGTTTGAGTTATAAGGAGAGGCTGGATAGGCTGGGACTTTTTTCACTGGAGCACAGGAGGTCGAGGGGTGACCTTATAGAGGTTTATAAATTAATGAGGTGCATAGATAAGGTGAATAGCTAGGGTCTCTTCCCTAGGGTGGGGCAAGTTCAAGACTAGTGGGCATTAATTTAAGGTGAGAGGAGAAAGATTTAAAAAGGACACGAGGGGCAACTTTTTTACACAGAGGGTGGTTTGTAGGTGGAACGAGCTGCCAGAGGAAGTGATAGATGCAGGTAGAGTTACAACGTTTAAAAGACATTTGGACAGGTAGATGGAAAGGAAAGGTTTAGAGGGATACGGGACAAACACAGGCAAATGGGACTAGTTTAGTTTGGGATCGTGGTCAGTGTGGATTAGTTGGACTGAAGAGTCTGTTTCTGTGCTGTATGACTTGATATTCTACAAACATTCAAGGACAAGTCGGGCTGAATGGCCTGTTTCTATGTCATAAATACTTGTTTAGTTATAGCTCCCGTTTAGGTTTCAGAGGGGATTTTCAGGGGTTCTGTACAGGTGGGAGAAGGAATTAATGAGGACTTGTATCTATGAGATACCTCTGAGGAGCAGTCCTTGGTAATGAGAGGGCAACATTTTAATGGTGAACAAATTACAGTTCCAATCTGTTTATAAAATCTTATTTACAGACATTGAGCGACAGATGGCAGCTCTCGTCACATCCTTCAATGATACAGACTTCTCCTTATGAAGTGACAAACTTTGCCTTGCTGACCATTCCAGCTTTTGTTGGTCTCCAGGCTACAACCTCATTGCAATGTGGAGCTGCATCCAAGGCAACTTTGGGCTCAACAGCACATCCTGCCGAGATGACCCATGCCAGAGGGTGGGCCTGATCCTATCTGTTGCCTCGACAGCCTACCTCGTAGTCTGCTTCCCGCTAGGCCTTATCCTCAACGGTTTGGTTCTCACTGTCAATCTGCGCCACAAGTTGTCCATCAACATGCCCGATGTCTACTTCACCAATATGGCACTCGCTGGCCTGATTCTGAACCTGGTGGCTTTCCTGCAGCTCCTGGGACCTGACCACCTCCTGTGGCCGGTGTGGACCTTCAGCCGGGAGCTCTGCATGGCCTCCTTCATCCTCTTCAATATGGCCGCCCTGGTCAGCACCTACTCCGTCACCTTGCTGAGCCTGGACTGCTTCATTGAGCGGGCGTTGCCGCACACCTACATGTCGAGTGTATACAACACCAAGCACGTCTGTAGCTTCGTGTGGGGTGGAGCTGCCCTGGCCAGCTTCTCCTCCCTCCTCTTCTACGCCTGCAGCAAGATTTCCGAGGAGCTCGATGACTGCTCAAAACTGCGGACCAAGGAGCTGGGCGACGCCATTATGGTCTTCACTGGGCTGTTGGCCCCCACCGCTGGGGTGGGCTATGCCCTCTGGCTAATCCACCGGTCCTGTAAGGAACGTCCCTATCAGCTTGAGGAATCCTCGAGGCTTGACCCTTGCGTCCAGAGACTTCTCCTGGCCACTGTCTCAGTGCACTTTGTCCTCTGGTTGCCGTACTACCTCACCCTCCTGGTGAGCACAGCCCATTTTGTCACCAGAAGTGAGGGTGATCGGCACTTTACCAAGCTGCTTCACTTCCTGAGAGGATTCAGCGAGCTGCTTGCTTACCTGAGTTCCTGCACTTTGCCCATGATATACAAACGCCTGCAGAAGAGCTTCAGCTGCCGGCTCAGGCTGGTGATCCAAGGCTTGCATCGTGGGCGTCTGGGCCACCCTCGCCGGGTACAACAGCAGCAGTGTGTTGCAACAGTCTCAAGGGCAGATCTGGCCCTAGAGAACATCAGTGTCTCTGCCCAACACTTGGCATAGAATTAGGTCCAAAGGGACCTCAGAAGCAACACTTTCGTGCAGAAGGTGTTGTGTGTTTGGAATGAACCACCAGAGGAAGTAGTGGAGGCTGGTACGATTAGGCATCTGGATGGGTACATGAATAGGAAGGGTTTGGAGGGATATGGGCCAAATGCTGGCAAATGGGACCAGATTAATTTAGAACATCTGGTCAGCATGGAAGAGTTAGACTGAGGGGTCTGTTTCCACGCTGCACAGATCTATGACTCTAATTCCTCACTCTATCCCAACAGTCAGACCCTGTCGAACAGGATCGAGTCTAACTCTGCAGTTTCTGCGTCCATGATGTCTATGATCAAACCCATCAGCCGCAGAAAGACTTGCATTTGTATAGCACCTTTCATCAGCTCAGGATGCCGCAAAGCCAGTAAGTATTGAAGTACAGGAGCAAATTACTGCAGCGGCTGGAATCTGTACTGAAAACAAAAGAAAAATCACAGCAGGTCAGGCAACATCCATGGAGAGACAGCAAGCTAATGTTTCAAGTCTGGATGAACCTTCATCAGGGCTGACGTGGTATATTGAAGCATAGTCATTTTTATTTGTTCAGGAAACCACAGCAAGTATAGTGTACGCAAGCAGCAATATCTGACCAGTTTGATGAGTTTTTGATGGCATTGGATGAGGAGTGGACATTACCCTGTTCACTGAAGAGATTCCACCCCACCCCCCACCTCCAACCCACTCCTATCTTCTTTCAATAAATGCCACCTTCTTTCCTTTCATCCTGAACAGGTTGGTGTTGTAATTGGAACTCAGGAACAGAAAGTGGCAAATTTAACAACTTGAGCCTATTTCCATTGTTCGCTTAAATTACAGCTGATCTGTCTCCCACACCATTCACCCACCTTGGTTCCATACCACTCAATCCTGTCAAAATCTATCAAGCTCATCAACTTTCCAGTGAATGCCCAGCTCCCTGGGAGAGTGTTTCAGTCTCCACTCCCCTTGGAACAGCCTCTGGAAGTCACCTGCCCTGAACAGCTAGCCTGGCTCTTGTTTAAGATTATCCTCTCTGCCTTGTTCTGGCTCCCGACCAGAAGGAACAGTCCCTCCACCTACATTTCTAATCATTTGAATTACCTCGTTGGGATTGTTCTTTAAGCTCCTAGACTCAAGGGCATACAAGTCCAGTCTTGTAACTAGTCTTCAAAATGACTTACTCCTGATTTTGCTACTGGAAGACAGTACTTCCTACATTGGTGCTTTGGTTCATAGTAGCGTACAATAGCACAGTGCAGAAGGAAGGCTGTTCAACCCATCAAGTGTGGGTTAGTATTTCAAAGAGCAATCCAGTTATCCTTACTCTCCCTCTCTTTCCTCATTCACTCAGTTTGTTCTCCTTCATGAATGTACCCCATTTAGCTTTGAAAGCTCCTTATGAATTGGGATCCGTCTCTCTGTTAGGCAGTGTAATAACTTTTATTCACTGCTGCTCAAGGGAAGCTAGGGGCACAGTATTATTGTCACTGGATTAGTAATCATGAAGCCCAGGCTAATACTCTGGGGTGTAAATGTTCAATTCCTACCAACATTTAACCAGGAGTAGGCCATTCTAACCCTCAATCCTACTCCACCATCTAACATGATCTGATTGTTACCTCAAATCCACATACCCACCTCTGATAACCTTTCACCCCTTCACCAAATCTATCCACCTCTGCCTTTAAGATGCTCAAGAAATCAGCTTCCAACTTTCAGGAAGAATTCCAAAGTCTTATGACCAATGGATGGCACAGTGGTCAGCATTACTGCCTCACAGCGCCAGGACGCAGGTTCAATTCTACCCTCAGGCAACTGTCTGTGTGGTGTTTGCACATTCTCCCTGTGTCTGCGTGGGTTTCCTCCTCCAGTCCAAAGATGTTCAGGTTAGGTAGATTGGCTGTGCTAATTTGTTCCATTGTGTCTAGGTGGATTAGCCATGGAACATGTGGGGGTGGGATGCTCTGCAGAGGGTCAGTTTGGATGCAGTGGGCTGAATGGCCTGCTTCCACACTGTAGGGATTCTATGATTCTAACTGGGTGACCGCTGATTTTTAAATAGTGACCCTTAGACTGTCTCTCAAGAGGGAACATCCTCTCCACGTCATACCCTGTCAAGACCCTTCAGGATCTTTCACATTTCAATCAAGATACCTCTCACTGTTCTAAACGCCGATGGATACAGCCCTAACCTGGCCAGTTTTCATTCTCTTCTGAAGACGCCATTGGACTCAAAACATTACTCTGTTTCTCTCTCCACAGATGCTGCCAGACCTGCTGTGTCTCTCCAGCACTTTCTGTTTTTTTTATAACTTCAAATTTTAGTTCCACTCATTTATTATGGGGAGAAATACAGGAACAGGCTATTCAGCTTGATGATCATCCATGAGCACAATGAATGACAGAGCAGGCTCGAGGGGCTGAATGGCCTTCTCCTGCTCTTATTGTCTGTGTTTCATTCTAGATACTAATTTGGCAAAGCTTCTCTGAACTGCTTCCGATGCAAATGCATCATTCCTTCAATATAGTGATCAATATAGTGAACAGTACTCCAAATGCACTCTCGTATAGATGACTCCACAGCCCTGCCTAGCTGGCAGATGGGTCTCACAATTCAGAGAGCACGGAATTATCCTACTATTATAGCCAACATCCCTGCCTTAGCTAACACTCGTAATACAGATTTCTCTGGTTGCTTGTGGGACATTGGCTACAAAGCAGTTTACAATGTACCGAGCAGGCTTTAAATATCCCAAGATTTTCTGAACCAGGGCAGAACGTAGGAAGGGCTGCAGCTTATATCAAGAGGCAATGCTGAAAGGTAGTTACTTTTTAAGCTCTGTGATTCCTCCAATGGGACGCCTGACCCATAAGGAGAGATTGAGTGGAATTGAGGTCAAAGGGTTTAATAGAATGAGAGGATGAAATGTAAATTTTGCAAAGGCTGGACGGGGTGGTTACTGAGAGGTTAGTTCTCCTGTCCGCAGCACCAGAACTAGACAACGACCTTTTCACAAAAGGAAAACTTTTGACGTGTTTTCAATGCTGGGAAACGCAGTGGACGTACTGTGCGCTGCAAAATGCCTCATGACAATGACTGGGTTTCGCTGATGTCGGCCGAGGGATAAACATTGGCCTTGACCATCCAAATAGGGCCACGAGATACTTTATATAGCTGCAAGAGGGCTTCAATTTAAATTCCCATCCAAGTTGTGGCACCTTCGGCAGTACAGCACTCCCTCTATGCAGCGCTGGAGTTGACACTTGTGTGTGAGGTGTGGGTGGTTCACCCAGAGGACGGCAGGAAAGGAGAGAAGATGACCTGAATTCAAACCTGTCCCCCAACCCCTGTACAGTGTTTGATGAATCAAAATCCTAACTGTTGCTTACCGCTGAGCATGTAACAGATAACTATGGAGGTTTGCTGGAGAACCGCACAAAAATGCTTTAAGACTGTACAATCTATCATTTGGTTTGTAACGCTCTTTCTGTTAACAATGGAAAATTTTCTCAAGAGAAGAACTATGGCTTGATGCAGTGTATCAATAAATATATATTTAACATGCACAGATGTGTCTTCACTTGGTTGAAATGTACAGATGTGTTGAGGATTCTTAGTGTTCAGAAATACCAATAAATCTTTTTATTTCAAAGGGACTGGAGTATAAAAGTAGGAAGATTTTACTAAAACTATACAAGGCACTGGTCAGGCCACAGCTGGAATACTGTGAACAGTTTTAGTCCTCCCACCTGAGGAAAGGTAGACTGGTACTGGAGGCAGTCCACAGAAGATTCATTAGGCTGATACTGGGTATGGTGGGACTGTCTTATGAATGGATTTACGGGGAGGCGATGGCCTAATGGTATTATCAAATGGCCTATTAATTCAGAGACCCCAGATAATGTTCTGGGGTCATGGGATTCGAATCCTACCAAAGCAGATGGCAGAATTTGAATCTAATAAAAATCTGGATGATGACTAATGATGACCATGAATCATTGTTGACTGTCAGGAAAAACCCATCTGGTACAAATGTCCTTTAGGGAAGGAAATTGTCCACCCTTACTTGGTCTGGCCTACATGTGACTCGAGACCCACAGGAACATGGAGGACTTGACAGGGTGGAGGCAGAGAGACAGCTTCCTGTTGTGGCAAAGTCTAGGGCCAGAGGGGCATCATCTCAGAATAAGGGGTTGCACATTTAACACAGAGACGAGGAGGAATTTCTTCTCTCAGGGACTAGTGAACCTGTGGAATTCTTTACTGCAGAGGGCTGTAGAGGCTAGGTCATTAAGTATATTCAAGGCTGAGATAGAAATATTTTAATCAGGAAGGGAATCAAGGATCATGGGAAAAAGGCAGGAAAGTGGAGTTGACGATTATCAGATTGGCCACGATTTCATTGACCGGTGAAGAAAACTCATTGAGCTTACTTCTACTCCTATGTCTTAAAGTCTTATGCTTGAGTTCCTGCATGTTTCTACAGCGTTCAGCAACCATGTCATAAGGAGACCATTGTAGGGCTATCCAATTAGTCCCACTTCACTTGGGTCTTTTTCTGTAGACTTACTGTTTCCATTTTTTATCCCATTCTCTTTTGAAAGTTACAACTGAATCTGCTTCCACTGTCCTATCAGGTCGCACACTTCAGATCACAATAATTCACTGTGTAAAATCACATCGCCCTCTTTAGTCCTTGGTCCTTTTACCAATTGCGTTCCTTTTGGTCAACTGTGGATACAATTGCTCTTTACTCAACCTATCAAAACCATTCATGATTTCAGCCACTTGCGTTAAATCTTCTCCCTTTAACCTACTCCATTGGAACAATCCCAGCTTCAACCTTGTCGCCACAAAACTGCCTGCATTCATTCAGAAACAAAATGCAGCTGATTTATTTGTCGACTGGGGGATTAGGATGAAGAAATGGAGAAGGAATCAGGGTAAATCAAGTGGAGATTAACTACCTGCTGGAGTACCAGCTAACAGAATTCAGCAGGCAAGAACAGGATTTTCCCAGCTGAGCTGGTCCCCAGTGTTCTGCATCAAGTTCACATAGCAACTAGAACCAACACTGACCCAATACCCCTGGTGGAAGTTTCATGTGGGGAAAGGCACAG